GAGGCAGGTGCTATGGGAGGAGGCTGAAGTTCCCAGAGCCTTGCTGGGCAGTGGTGAAGGAGGAGCAGGAGTTGAGGTGTAAGGTCAGAGAGCTTCGTGGCAAGTCCCTCACCTCCTCCAGCCTCCACTTGCCAGCGATGCGCACGTAGTTCCCTGGGTGGCCGTTGATCCTGAGCAAGGAGCAACAACAGCAATACCTGTTGAGCTCCACTGTTGGCCCCTGTTGGATCAACATCCAGGAGCAGGGGGGAGGGCATCACCCTGCAGGCACTGGTGGAGAGGCAAGGGGCTTCCCCCACCCACCACATCCATGAGGAAAAGCCATGGCCCTCGTGAGGTCCCAGCTGGCTCCCTGTGCTGGCTGGGGAGGGCAGAGGGACTGGGCTGCCTCCTGGGGAGACTTGGGGATGTGTGCCCCAAGCCCAGGCTCCCCTCTGCTCCCTCCTCACCCCCAGCCACCTCTCACCGTCCCAGAAAAAAGGCGATGTAGATGAGTGAAGAGAAGTGAGTGAAGAACTGGAAGGTGAAGATCTTCACGATGAAGTTGTTCTCGTGCTGGGAGAAGGTCCGTGGTTTCTCTGGGGAAGGCAGCGAGGCCCAGGAGCTTGGTCACAGGGTGGTGAGACCTTGCCCTGGTCCATCTCAGATGCCACAGCAGCTCTTTGAAGGTTGGAAGGTTGTCTCTGCCCCTCGTGGAGCCTTCCCTGCACTTTGCCTGAGCCCTTTGATGGAGCTGTGCTCAGCTAAGCAGGTAAGTCCCCCAGAGCCATGAGCTGGGGGGGCAGAAGGGGCTCTTTAGCTGGGAGGAAAACCATGTTGTGGGCTCTCCTGCAGCTGTGGTGGCTTCCTGCTCATGCTGGGTTTTGGCCTCATAAGGTGACCACCCCTCCAAAGAGGAACGTGGCTGTGGGACAGCCAGCCAGAGCACGTGGGCCGCGGGTGAGCTTGGGTGTTGGGGGGCTGCTGGCCTCCCATAGGGACCCGCATGGCAAGAGCTGCCCAGCAACTGCTTGGTGATGGTGGAGGAAGGGAAGGGGCCGAGAGCCTGGCTGCATTCGGGGACCAGGGGGGTGCTGCTGGCAGGCAGGTGGGAGGCAGCCCCGGTTTCCCTTACCCAGCTCACAGAGGAAGAGTGCCACCCGCTTGTTGACCTGCAGGAGAGAGGCACGGAAGGAGAGGCGAGGGCTGGCGGTGGAGCAGCGAGGGGCAGAGCCCCCCCCGCCCCGCGCCCG